TTTTAAAATTTTGATCATCTCACACACTGGCTTTTGGCTTTTTGTACAATAAAGCGTTGTTTGTTTGTTTGTTTGTCTTGAAGTTGTGAAAAAATCAAACTTCTAAGTTAACGTAAAAAAAAAAGATGCGTAGGTACGCAGAGTTCCATGGGAATGATCGTTAAGTCGACTGGCTGTCTAACGAATAGGCTGTGATAATATTAAAGAACGAAAGTCAGGTGATTACATTAAAAATAAAATTGGTCCGACCAGCGGGGTCCTCTCATTTTTTTTCCACACTTTTTTTTTGTATAATATACGCTATACTTAGGTGATCTAGAACATTCCTTCCTGGCACTCAGTACGAATCTGTCATAAGGAAGGCAGTAATAGAAATAAAAATAAAAGAGAATTTTAGATTCTTACAATAGAGTTTTATATACCAGGTGATGACAAAATATAGTTCATTAATGCTTCTGCTCTTAACTCTAAAGATCTGTGCACATTGTCATACACGTTTGTTCAATATACAGGGTGAGTCTTAAATAAGTACAAATATTTTTAGGGGTAGTATATTTAGATCTCAGAAACACGATTATAAGTTCTTTTCTGGCAATTTTTTTTTAAATTTTGAAATTTTTGAAAAAAATTTTTCGGTTTTTAGTTAAAAAACATAATTTCTTGATAATATGGCAACCTAGGTATTGGATTAAATTTACGAGAAAGAAAATCCAGAAAAGATCCAATGCTTCTCAAAATTTTAGCAAAAAAATCATTTTTTTTGGAAATTTTCAAAGTAAAATAATAATCGAGCTATAACAACCCTAAAAATATTTGAACTTATTTAAGACTCATCCTGTATAATTGATATGTGTATTATTTTAGAAAATATTTTTTATATTTAACTGAATTTAATTTAAATATAAATTTCAAATAAAAATAAAATTATATAATGCTAATTGGCAACACAGCTACGATGAATTGGCAACATTGAAAAGTTAAATATCTTTAGAGATATGAAATTTTAAGTTATATCGTTATATGGCATATGTAAACAAATATACAGGGTGCCATATTTTCTTCATCTCCCTAAAAAAGGCGGAAATTATTTAGAATTGCTTTTTTAACAAAAAATTACAGTATTAAATGGATCAATTTTGTTATCACCCAGTATTATTAAAATAAAATATTTCGTTTTAAATCACTGTTAAATTTATTACCTATATATTAACTTTTCAATTAAAGTTCAAGTACTGTTACTAGCCAACAAAAATAAAACAATATTGTGCTTATTTGAACGTACCACCTAGATGAACCTGTTCTTTGAATACTTTACAATTAAAAAAAAAATATATACCTTTCAATTCCTAAAACGTCAGTACTTTAGAAAATGAAAAAGAACACTCACTCCAATTTGAGATCAATTTCAAGTTTGCTTTTTTTTTATATTAAATAATTTACAAAAGTTTAATTAAACACAGCGTCACACACAAGTGTCTGCATTAGATGGATTTTTTTGGTCACTACTTGTCAATATTCTCTCTAGGTCTAATATCTGACAGTTTAAGAAACGGAAAAGTTTTTATCGTGATACTGCATCTATTTTAACAAGTAAGACAGAGAGACAAAGATATGCGGTGTTGTCGGTTTTTAGGTGCGGTAGGTTTGTAGTATGTATTATATAAGGTCTTAGAACTATAGCAAAATTTTCGTAGTCTTGGCGGACGAATTATGTTTTGTATTATTACACCGGGTGTTTTTCAAAAGTGCCTCACCCCCTATAACTTTTTTATTTTTTCAGATAAAAAAACGAGATTTGGTATGTTAGTGTATGATATAAATCGGGATTGATTGGCGTATTTAGTGAGTTTCATTTCCTGTTTCACCGGAAATGACCACAATTTTTCATTTTTAAATGATACCCTCGGTATTTTTTACTTTATTTGATAAAATGACATTCTGAATCGAATGACAGTATATTTTCAAGCTAGAGTGTCATATGTTTGTTAAAACCACAAATTTTTAATCAAGGAGCCTTGGAAAAATGGATTTGATTGGCTAATGTTTTTCGTGTGTTTTCCTGGTAGGTTAATAGATGCCCAAATCGTATTTGTAATCATAACTCAGGGCTCAAAAAGCATTTTGTTACGAATAATTCGGCATCGTCGTTAGTGAAAGTGTCAAAAGATGACATACGATAAGTCATTCTATTCCAGTGGCGTGCATTACATATAGGCAAAAAAGCATTGCCTACCCTTCGATTTACTCAAGACAGACGCAAAATAAAAATATATTTATCTGATCAATTTTCATTATATATCTACCTACAAATCCTACAATGCGGCCTACATTGTTTTATTTTTCTAAATAGTAAGTTAGTATTGTGTTTATTACGGTTGCAAAGCCGGAAACATCATACAAAACAAACGCCACCTGTTCAACGTCTTATTATTACCTAAAAAACGCATCCCATTATTCGAAATCGAACGCACGGCCGCAACTTAACATTACATGGATATGGACAAGCAAAAGCAGTGCGTTACCGCAGCACGGATGCACCGATGTCTCGATCCCGTCGATGCGGTATTGCCAGTTCCGATGTTATTACAGAACTATGTATGAAACAGTCCATGTTATTTTATATGATCTATTTTAAATAACTGTGTTTTAGAAAGATTTGTATTATGTAGCAAATTAGAAATTTGCTTGTCTGTCATCTGTATTTGTTTCCAAATGATTTCATTTATTATTTTAATTGACTGTAAAATCATTTTGGTACATAAAATCTATTAGGCAGTGGCAATTGGCAGTCTGGCAATATTGTGTACGGTTATTGTTTTAGCTAATTCGCCAGTCGTTGAGTCGCCTATCGGGAAGAAATAATGATTGAATAATAGACAGATTATTCGTTTTGCATCTACAAATAATTAAATTTATTTGCTGTTATTTGAATTTTCTTTTGTTTCAGTTTAAAGTTAAAATACGTTAGACAGTAAATTTTATATACGTACATTGTACATTATGTAATACATACGTTTTTCTAGTTTTTTTTTTCATATTTTTGATTCTGTTGCCTACCCTACTGTAAATGGTACTGCACGCCACTGTTCTATTCAGAATGTTATTTTTTATAAATAAAGTAAAAAAATACCAAGGGTATCATTTAGAAGTTGTACCCATTTCCGGTGAAACAGGAGGTAACCGAAACCAACTGAATACGGCAATCAATCCTGATTTATGTCATATACTATCATACCAAGTCTCATTTTTTATCTCAGAAAATAAAAAAGATATAGGTGTGAGTCACTTTTGAAAAACAACCAGCCTTATAGGACTATTACCTACATGATAATCCCACTATTTATCTCTCTTTAATATGATTGAATTTCCATTAAGATATCTCCATCATTATTTCACCCGTTAAAATCCAGACCACTGACATGAAAAGTGAAAAAACTCAAAACTCCATCGAAATGCAGTCAAATATATGCGACACGATAAATATAAATAAAAATATATTTCCTTATAACAAATTCAATGTTTTTTTCGGCAAAAATCGGAGACATAATATTTACACAATATACTATTTGACTAGTACCGGTAAAAGTAATTACCGCTTTTGTTCTAGAGAAGATGTAGAATGTGAAGGTGAAGATGGTTACACTATTTTTTTTATAAACCGCCCTAATAAATAGTTTTACAAAAATATATCCTGAAGTAACGTAACTTTTACAGCTAAGAATTGTACAGGGTGTTCGGAAAAACACGGTCAAATTTCGGGGGTAATTCCTCGTTAAAAATATGGAAAAAAGTTTCGATAAGTATGGGTCCGGAAATGCATAGTTTTAAAGATAGAGCATGTCAAAAGCTTTATTTAAGTATTTTGTCTGTAATTATCTTAAATACCATTTTTTAATCTGCTGAACATCCATGTTATAAATTGTAATTTGTTATCAAATATTTCATTATTTTAGTCTATAGAGTAGGGATGGGATTTTTTCCGATATATGTATCGATAACTATCGATAGCTATCGATTACAAGAGGTGACTTTAAAATTATCGATATATCGACCTAACGTTATCATTTAATGTATTAATAGTAGGGATGGAATTTTTCTTCCACTGAAAAATTGAAAAACTATCGATACATCGATAGCTATTGATATACTAATGATTTATCAATAAACCAAGACTATAGTCTGTGAAACGAATAACTTTGAATTTGACAGTTCTCGCGGCTTTTCTACTGTTAATTTTATTAGGTTAGCAACTTGCAGCCATGCTGACGCAATGCCGTCTCTAATAGAACAGCCTCGGAGCGAGATTTATGACGTCACGCTAGTTAGATACTACCGATTAATAAATATGTTGTAGAATACATGGAAAACATAATTATTCCTCGTATTTTTGGTTTGTATTTTAAAAATGATATACAGTTAAATTAATATACAGTTAATAAATACAATATATATATACCTATTTATAGTAATAAATACTTTGGCAAATAAACTATGAACCATACAAGTGCAGCAAATGTTTTACAATATACAAATAATGAATAGGTACATAAGATAATGGGTAAAATGTAAAATATATTTTAAATTTTGGGGTTTGAAAATCGATCTAATTTAACAAAAAACATTCAATATCTACTAATAGTGATGTATTATTATTTGCATTCACAAAATTTATATGTATATTTTGCAAGTATCAATGTTCGAAAAATTATATTTGCAAATAATACAATATCATAGAAAAAAAGGCGTCAGCGATGGATATGAAATAAAGACCGCTGTCATTTTATATGAAAAATTATTCTAAAATTTTTTATTTTTTTGGGATTTAGGGTCAGGAAAAACGTCGTTATTATTATAAAAACGCTGTTTTCATTTGGTTTCTCATTATTTTCTTTGGTTTAAAAAAAAACGTTTTAGTATAACCAAAAATACGAGGAATAATTATGTTTTCCATGTATTCTACAACATATTTATTAATCCGTAGTATCTAACTAGCGTGACGTCATAAATCTGGCTCCGAGGCTGTTCTATTAGAGGCGGCATTGTTCTGATAATTAGAAATGTCAAAAGCTGATGACATTTTACTTTTGACAATTATGATATTTCGTGTTGACTTTTGCAAGAAGAGTAAGAACTGTCACTAGTTTTATTATTTTCCTTTTCTATTTCACGAAAGTAAAGAGTTACCTATCTGATTCGTTCAGGCACTCAATTTAAAGAATATCAGTAACTTTTTTGACAGAGGGATTTTATATTTGCCATGTTGGTAAAAAATAACGGTCAAAATTCAAAGTTATTCATTTTATAGACTATATCAGTAATTCGATAGTTATTGCTATATCGATAATTGTCGATATATCGATAATTATCTACATATCGATAGGTAAATTGCGATAACTTATTGGTGGTAAAATCCATTATTGCCTATACCTAGCCTACAGACCTGCATGAATTGGTTTTACTTTTTTCTCGAGAGAAAGTTATATTTTTAGTTGCCTTATCTAAAAAATTGCAAAAGTCAGTGGTGTATATTTTTTCTTGATTATTTTAGATAAGGTGTCCCATTAAACGCCACTGAATTTAATAATTTTAATTTAAAATAGCCTAAATCGGGCCATTATTAGTAAGGATGGGCGATAATGGAACTTACCTATCGATAAAATATCGCAATTCACCTATCGATATATTTTAGTTATCGATATGTCGACAATTATCGATAGGTATATCGAAAAAATAAAAAAAAAAATTACCGATAGTAATCGGTTTATCGATACGTTGATAATTATCGATACATGAGCAGTTTTTGGATTTTTTTCGATCTATCGATAAACTATCGATCCCTGTTCCATCCCTAATCGTAAATATCTAGTTCTAAAAAGTGCTCTTTAAAAAAGAAATAAAAATATACCCACAAAAATAAATTTCGATATATCGATAGTTACCAATAATATGCTTACGAAAATGCTATTAATACACCAATAGGTATCAATATATCGATAAGTATCGATAATTTTAAGGTCACCTATTGTTATTAGATATATTAATAACTATCGATAATTATCGATAAATCGGAAAAATCCCATCCCTAATTATTACTAGAAATAACACTGAAAATTTGAAGAAAGTCGGCTACAGGGTATTTAAGATAATTACGATTAATAACACCCTGTATCTTTAAAACTAGACATTTCCCGATCCAAGTTTACACAAACTTTATCCATACTTTTCGACGAGGAACCGCACCCTATAATTTAGCCCGGTACTTTTCGAACAACTTGTACATATACGGGGCGCGACAACCTTTGATACCACCCTGTATATATCACCCATTCTACCTTCTCTCTCTTCGCCAATCACTACTACTAATCTTGTTTCGGTGGTGGGCCACGTTGTTTTAGCTTCATTTTATTTTTTAAAATTATTTTTACAAGGGGAGACCGTATTGTACCGACCAGAGTTTTTTTGCTTCATTTTTTTGTTTGACTAACCAATAGCATTGAGAAAAAACATTGAGAGAAAACAAAAGTAACGCACGCGCACAAAAACGGCGGCGTTGTCGAGGCGGCTGAGGCGACCGCGACCGCTGTCGTCGTCCACAGGTGTCGCTTTTCATCGTATGTCCTTAATGTTCTGCTTTGAGCCGAAGATTTTGAGCATTTGGTCCTCGTAGTCGGTGATGTTGCGCTTCATGATCTCCATGCAGGGACCGAGCAGCCGTTCGAACGCTTCCACGTCCAGGACTGCAACAAAACGATAAATTATTTTAAGAAATAAGTTATCCCATCAAAAACGTAGAATGTAAAAAATGCCAATTCTTCTACTATAAAAAGTTGTGAGATCTCATGTAAAAGTCAATTTATTTTATTTAGTCTCTTTTTAAGTACCTATTCAACAATTTTGTTATAAATTGTTAGTATCAATATTAAGTCATCTTTATTTCTGTCAAAATTATAATGGCTTAAAATCAAAAGTTGTAGTCATTTCCGGTAGTGATGGGCAAAACTGTTATTTTTAGATAACAGTTGAAACTGTTATAGTTATTTATAAAAAACAGCTTAAAATAACAGCTTAAAAATAACAGGTTTCTTTATTTTACTGCTAAATATCTGAAAGATTATGAGGCGGTCACCGCCAGGCATATTAACGCAGTTGCAAGTTGCAACAATGACGTGCTCGGTGGTAGTATTTCAAGGGTGTCAAAACATTTCTAAATATCGATTGTTATCTAAAATACCTCTCTAAAAACGGTGGTTGTTTACAAATAAGCGCTGTTTACAAATTGCGATATAAAAAAAGCCAAAATGCCGCCACTCGTCTATACCTATACATTCCGATCTACCTACGCCCTGCCCCTCGATCCGCGTAGATCCTGAATTGCGTAGCAGTGTACAGGGTGCATCTCACTCGACAGGCGAGAAGCTCTTAGTTATGATTTTACCATTTGCGGTCAAAAAATAGCAATATAAGAAAATGTGTAGTATATTCTTCATAAGTAAACCAACTACACACTACAGTTCGAATTAATTTTACACTTAAACTAGCGTGTACCCGCGACTTCGTTCGCGTCGAACTAATAATTTGTAATGGTGATGATAAAGATAAAGCAAAGCAAGAATTTCCATTAACATACAAACTGGATAAAATTTTCTCACATTTGCCAAAAATAAGCTTTAAACGTCGAGCAGTTTAAGCAGAATCGTGGTTAATCAATTACTCAACTTTTTGGAACACCCTGTATGATTTTTTAAAAAATTTCAAAATATGTAAAAAACAAAATAAATTATGCGTGTCCAGGCGTTTTCCCGAAAGACTAATCGTTTTTAAATAACAAATATTGTAATATTTGAGGGGCGTTTTCACCCTGTTGGAATTTGAGATTCGAGAAAACCCCTCCTTAACGAACCTCAAACCCACAGTCAATCCGTTTGCCAAAAATCAGCTTTAAACGTCAAGCAGTTTAAGCAGAATAGTGATTACTCAATGGTCATATTTTATGAAACACCCTGTATATATTTTTAAAAAATCTTAAAATATGTAAAACAACATAATAAAATTTACGTGTTTTAAGAGTTTTTCCGAAAAACTCACCGGTTTTTAAATAACAAAATATTCTAATATTTGAGGGTAGTTTCACCCCCTTAGAATTCTAGTTTCGAAAAATCCCTTCTTATCGAACCTCTACACGCTAAAGTCAATGCGTTTTCCAAAAATCAGCTTTTTACGTCAAGGGCTTTAAGCAGGATCGTGTTTAATCAATGACCAGATTTTTCATAACACCCTGTATACATTTTTAAAAAATCTTAAAATATTATTCTGAAAATTTTTCTGAATAAATAAACACCTAAATATTGAAACTTAATAAGTAAGTACTGAAACATACAGCGCCATAATATCTCGACCTCCGCCCGTTATGCTCGTAACAGGTTGAAAAACAATGTATCTAAAACAACTGATGCGTTATTCTCCAACCTGTTTCGAACCTCCATCGACAATCGACCGATGCAGCAGCGTTACTTTCCCACTCCTGTTATCTCGACCGCCAGGCGTTAGGGTACGAACATAGTGGAGGCAGGTTTCTGCTTTCCGGCAACCAGCGCCGTCTCTGGGGACCTATTCTTGACCACTCGCATCTTCAAATATCGCTCGCATCTCCTAAAAAGCCATATAACAATACACAGATGCGTAACTTTGCGTATATGCATCACGTGTATTGTATATGGCTATTTCGGAGATGCGAGAAGGATTCGGAAGTAGATAATTAAGAGGAAATTTACCTGATTAACTAACCTAACCTAACCAAACCATATTCAAACGCTCACATAGGTGTATTTGGTTTATAAACCTGGCCAAAAGTGATATTTTTTTATTTTCATTTTTTATCTTAACTGAATACAAATCTATAAATACTAAATGTAAGCACGTTTATTAGCTTTTTTTAAGTCGTAAGTTGACTATCAAATAAATAATATATTTCAGTTAAAAGTATGAATTATCTTGAGTGTATTCTGAATATTTCTAAGATTATAAAAATAGTGGAATTGTTTGTAGTGCTTTTTTTGCAAATTGTTCATAATAACTGTCATGATGGATACAGAGCCAGCTTTGTTTGTTGGCTCTGTTCTGTTTTATGCCATATTTTTATTTTGAAACGTTTCCTTCTATTCTATTTTTTTATAATGTTTTATATTTAAAAAATCAGTGGCATTTTTATAAGGTGTAAGACTATTCGGCAATATTCCGCATGGAAATTAGTATCCGTTCAATGCTTAAAGTCTCCAGCATTGGAATATGCACAAAAATCTTGCCAATATTTGCCACTGCCAAAAAAAACATTGATTTAAATAGATTCTTAAAGGAAATAGTCTTTACCCTATTAACACCCATCCTCGCTCAAATATCGTCTATAATATACAAATTACTTTCTTGTTCTAGCATCCTCATCCAATTGCTTGGTTTTGCACAGAATGGCCCTATTTGATCGGTGGAAAGGGTTTCAGAGTAGAGGAAAAAATATTGTGTAGGAAAAACAAAATGGGGTTCCATATTAGCAACCTCTCCTCTAATTAATAATTAATATTACTAGCAAAAAAGCAAAAAAATCATAAAACATAATTTTGGCCAACTTTTAGTTCTTAATACCCCCTGTGCGCCGTCGGCGCGTGCAAAAGCAGAAATAAATAAATTTTCGTTCCGGTAAAAGCGAGAACGCCGATGAACGCTGGTTGACGGTGCCTGCCTGCTTTCACTGTGAACTAGCCGATTTGATAACACGCTTTAATTTTTCAAGGTTATAAGCGCGAGGCGGCGCGGCGCGGCGCTACTATGTAACCATATACAGGGTGTCCCAGAAATAAGTGCAAGTATTTTAACTTAACTGGTAGTATAGTTCAACCCCAGAAACACGCCTATGAGGTTTATTTCTAAATAATTTTTTTTTAAAAATTCGGAATTTTTTGAAGATATTTTTGGAATTTTTTTGCAATCTTTTTTAGTTTTTATTTAAAAAAATAATTTCTTGATAATATGGCAACATAGGTAGTAGATTAAATTTACAAGAAAGAAAATCCAGAAAAGATCCAGTGGTTCTCAAACAAATCTCGAAGTATTGGAAAGAATGTGTAAGGACCAAGAACTATCGACTACAATAAAACGACGGAAAGCAGCATATTTTGGTCATATTTTTCGAAATAACAAATATAGTTTCCTACAGCTGATCGTTGAGAGAAAGATTGAAGGACGACGAGGCATCGGGCGTAAACGGTTTTCCTGGTTGCGGAATTTGCGCCAGTGGTTTAATATAGGAGAGGCCAGTGCAATTATCCGTTTGGCTCAAGACAGGGAGGAATTCCAATTGATGGTCGCCAACCTCCGATGAGGAGAAGGCACATGAAGAAGAAGGTTTTCAAAAATTTTAGCAAAAATAATTTTTTTTGGAAATTTTCAAAGTAAAATAACTCCATTATTTTGGACTTATTTGAAAAACGATAAAGAGAAAATATGTTTCTTTTATCGAGATCTACCACCCTTTAAAATACTTGCACTTATTTCTGGGATACCCTGTTTATAACAATACACGTGATGCGTATACGCAAAGTTGCGAACGATGTCAAGAATAGGTGCCCAGATTGGCGCTGGCTACCAGAAAGCGGCAAACCTGCTTGCACTGTGTTCGCACACTTATGCCCCACAACTGTTTCAAAAAACCTGCTTCTTTTATATCCTATTATTTTTAAGCGGTATCGACCGAAGCAGCTACGTTCGCCGTAGTGCATTCCCCACTCCGTTGTCCGTTGTCTCGCCGCCTGTATCGATGGTTGACGAAATAACAGGTTTTAAATCCATACTAGTTGTTTTTTGGAATTGCTTCGAGCAGCATAGAATTTCGTGGCGGTGCAGAGCGCTGACTTCGTTTTTCGTTTCACGAGCGGCCGATCTCTACGTGTCGTTATTTTATATCTGTTATTTTTTAGAAGTAGTAACGGTTGCGTTATGTTATTTATAAATAATTGTTATAAAATAACAGATAGTTAAATAGCAACCCATCACTAATTTCCGGTAAAACAGGAAGTGGCCAAAAACAGTTGAATACGTCAATCAATCCTAATTTATGTCATATACTAATATACTAAATCTTGATCTCTATATATACTAAAACTTGAACTTGAAAAAATAAAAAAGTTATAGGGGTGAGCCACTTTTGAGAGGCACCCCGTATATCACGAATATCTGCAAAATAGAGTTAAAAATTTATGAACACTTTAAATACAAAAAATGTTCACTTTTCAATTCTGCATCTAAAATAAAAATAATATACAGGGTGTTGCATTGTTTCGGTAAATAAAAAAAATAAATTATTTACCTACCCGTTGGGCATTTACCAGTAGTTACCAGGTGGCCCATCAGTGGCTGTAGCTGTCTTTGAATCGAGTCATCAAAAAGTATAACTCACTTTTTTCAAATGAAAATTCATCTTTTTTTATTATCGAAAAGGTTTTTTATTCGCTATTTTTTATATATAACGTTTCTATACCTAAAATAAAGTAGTAGTAGCTCAGACTCGTGAAAATCGCAAGGTTCTATTTTTCTTTACTAGTAAGCAAGATAACCATCTAGTGCAACCAACACGAGACACCCTGTATGTATCAAAAATTAAATAAACATAGTTCGTGCGTACCGGTTATTTCTTTTTATTTATAATTATAAATAATTTACCTGTAGAATATTATAATAATCCCCAGAAAAATCATTAAAGTTCTACGTAATAAATAATTGGAAATGTTCGATAATTATTATTTTGGGACCCGGTAATAGCCTTCTATAATGAGGAATAATCATTTTTTGTCATCAAAATAATAACATATTTTACATATAATATAGTTTAAGTTGGATTTATTCAGTATTTTTTTTATAAATTTAACTGCTTACCAATACAAAAAAAAATTAAAGTATTAAAAGAATAAACTGCGATTATACATATTTAAACAAAATAAAAACAGCATATTCTTTTCAACACACAGGGTGCTTCAAAACAGACGCGAAAATGTTTATTAGTAGACCATGCAACATTTTGCATGGTTCCAACTAAAAATTTTAAATATTTTTCCCCAAGAACGTTTAATTTTAGGTATAGTGTGTGATATCAAAATTCATATTCACGAATGGCAGACACACCCTATACACAATATAAATAGGTATATAAAACAATGCCAACTGTAATTGTTTCAGGTATGTTACATTAATCCTACTGTTTTCAATTAGTTACCGGTTATTTTTAACTTTTGGCCGATTGCACTTCCAAAATACTTCATTAATTAAAAAGATAATTATGAATATGCCTACAAAACAATTTGCTATTTAGAACTAAATTAACCACTTCACTAATAGTGTACATATATCATAGAAGTTAATAAAGGAAAATAAAAAAGTGGATAAATTATGTTTTACAAATAACAATTAACGAAACATATATTTGGGGAGTTATTCATATATTTTGGTTAGGTTATTATGTAGCATTTTTTATTTCCTTTAATAAAATTGAATTTAAAATTCTATTTTTATTTAAATTTCTTAGTATTGGCGCCATCTATTTACTAGATGCCAAAGATATCAAACTTCATTTATTACAGTTCACTTGTCTTGTTTATTAGCGCCATCTATTCGCTATATGCCAAACTTCCTTAATTGCATTTCACTTGTCCCGATATTTAATTTTTATTAGCGCATCTATTCGCTAGATGTCAAACTTTACTTATGACAGTTGGGTTCTGAAACTGAGAACTGAGAAGAAGGTCTTTTTTCTGGGAATTTGGATCTGAAGAAGACGCGTGTTTCGGCGTCCGACAAATTTTCCAGTGAAAAGCACTCTGAATCCGCTTTTCGATTTCGATTGCATGGGTATCCGATTTGGAAATTTGAAAACCTTGTAAAGTATGCAATCCAGAGTATAGATCGTATTTGTTTGGTTTCTTCTTGGAATGATCACCACCAGTAACTATCACATGGTACTCAGTAACTACAACATGGTACTCAGTAATTACCACATGACCTTAAGACAGTGTTCCTGACATTACAATCGTTCTTTTGGCTGATATCGAAGACTTCTCCTGGCATAGTCATCTGTATCCACTTCTGTTAGTCTGGAGAATACCTACCTACCTGTTTACATCATAAGAAACTATATACAGATAAGTCTTAAGTTTGATACACAAGGTACGCTTTTATTTTATAATTTTTGAGACAACAGATTTAATAACCTGGTAAATTATCACTATTTATCCCACATATTGCAGTCAAAATTATTTTTATTTAACGTTATAAGTTATAATTTGATTCGTACAGTACACTCTTACTTAGCTATGATATTTTATATGAAAATTATTAGCACGTATTCATTTTAAAGGTTTTTGTACACGACATGTTTCAAAACATCATCGTATTGAGACATACATAAATTTCACCTGTTTTTATATTAAGTAGCTTACTTAGTTCAAAGAATACAGTTACTAAATTCGAATCTATTTAAAATAACTTGCGGTTTTATTGGGATTACTGTGACTAATTGATGATACTTGTGTTCGTTTTCAATAAATGTTTAATGTAGGATAGTTATATTTCTGACTTTTATTCCTGATAAACATAATAGACCCTTAATGCCGTTGATTACTTTATTTTAGCTATGTTATGATATCGTATTTTTCTTTTTGGTTTCTTACTTTACCACTCTCATAAACAAAGTAAGTGGCGCCCTTTTCACTGTCTTTGACCATACCTATTTGAATTCTTAACATCAATATTAAAATCTCTGCAGCCTACATATTATCATTTTTTTATTTTTTAACATTAGAAAGTCACTGTGAGTCAGAAGCCTTACCTACGAACCCAGCTTTCCTCTAACCCTGAGCAACGGATTCTTTTTTCATTCTATTTGGGTAACGACAGAAAAGTCGTCACAATTATAAGTATTAACACTTTATAATTTCCGTGGCACATAGATAATTTTATTTCTTACTGAATTTAGTATATTTTGTCCCGTATTAAAACCACCCAAATGTTGCATTTATTAATCTTCCGGTATATTTGTATTAACGCTGCTGGTAGGAACTTTGTACCGGGTTACTATTGTATTAAATGACCTGTTTCTAAATTGATGGTTGTTGTCAATCGAATTCAATTTTTTGTCAAAAAAAAACTTCTTTTGCACGAATTCGGCACACGTTCATACATTAAAATGGAGCAAATATTAAAAAACCTGAAGAAGCACAACAAGTGTTACTTCCACCTAAAAGTGAATCAATTTGCCAAAAGGAATACAAAAAATATCTTCAGTGACTGGGACAGAAAAATATTGTAGCAGGGGATGTCGATGAAACTGTTCTCTTGTAAATTTACTATATTTAAGTGATATTAATGATGTAAAGAAATTATTAGAGTAGTTAGATGAGTGTCCATTTCAATTTTATATTCTATTTTTAAGAAACTCTTTAAAAAGGCCTAACAAGCCGAAACATATATGTCGAGTTAAAGTTACTCTTACTAAATTTTGATACATCAAAGCGTGTTTTATTAAAATACTAATTTTATATTATTACATAAAATCTCTATTGTATTCTTCGTTATATTAAAAAAAATCTTACTTGCAGTAAGTGTACTTACAGGCTAGTTTGACGTCGCCATCTGCGAAGGCAGAGGCGGCACGAGGGCGATGAGTGACCAGGGCCAGTTCGCCAAAGTATCCTCCCTTCGATATGCGATTGATCTCGATCTCTTTGCCGCTATCGTCCAGCACGCTTATGACCACCTCTCCCTTCTCCACGAAGTACATGCCGTCTGCCGCATCGCCCTGCAAAACACCAACAAAAATCTTTGATGAAAAATGAAACAAAAAATAAAATAAAAACAAAGAACATTTAATAGACAAAGGAAATAAAATGAAAGGAACTAAACTGAGCTTGAAATTCAAAACTTTCAAAAATAACTGTTTTGGATCGCATCCGTTGTAGGGCGCTGCTAGCCATTGCTGAGAACAGCGATAAACAGGGACAGTGAACATTTTCCCGTATACATATAAAAATGAATAAACTGCGGGTATAGTCTGTGAAACGAATAACTTTGAATTTGACAGTTCCCGCGGGCTTTTCTAGTGTTAATCTTATTAGGTTAGTAACTTGCGGGCCATGCTGATGCAATGCCGTCTCTAATAGAACAGCCTCGGAGCAAGATTTCTGACGTCACGCTAGTTAGATACTACGGATTAATTATGTTGTAGAATACCTACATGGAAAACATTCCTCGTATATGTAATTTTTTGGATTATATTCGACACTATTTTTTTCATATGATACAACACTGATGAAGGCTATAAACGTTAGCTATAACGTTTTTTTAACCAAAAAAAATAATGAAAAACCAAATGAAAACTTAATCAGCGTTTTTCCCGAACCTAAATCTCAAAAAATCAAAAGTTTTAGAATAATTTTACATATAAAATGACAGCGATCTTCATTTCATAGCCATCGCTGACGCCTTTTTTTATGATATTGTATTATTTGCAAATATAATTTTTCGCACATTGATGCTTGCAAAATATACATATAAATTTTGTGAATGCAAATAATAATACATCACTATTAGTAGATATTGAATGTTTTTTGTTAAATTAGATTTTTAAACCCCAAAATTTAAAATATATTTTACATTTTACCCATTATCTTATGTACCTATTCATTATTTGTATATTGTAAAACATTTGATGCATTTGTATGGTTCATAGTTTATTTGCCAAAGTATTTATTACTATAAATAGGTATATATATTGTATTTATTAACTGTATATTATGTATAGCTCATGTAAACTATATCATTTTTAAAATACAAACCAAAAATACGAGGAATAATTATGTTTTCTCTGTATTCTACAACATATTTATTAATTCGTGGTATCTAACTAGCGTGACGTCATAAATCTCGCTCCAATGCTGTTGTATTAGAGACGGCATTGGTCTGATATTTAGAAATGTCAAAGGCTGATGACATTTTACTTTTGTCAATTATGACATTTCGCGTTGATTTTTGCAAGAAGAGGAAGACCTGTCACTTGTTTTATTATTTTCCTTTTCTATTTCACGTTCAGAGTTACCTATCTGATTCGTTCAGGCACTCATTTTAAAGAATATCAGTAACTTTTTGGATAGAGGGCTTTTATATTTGCCATGTTGGTAAAAAATAACGGTCAAAATTCAAAGTTATTCACTTTATAGACTATACCCCATAAATTCTTGTCCAAATATTGATACATAAATATACAGGGAGTTTCAAAAACCATGCCATCTCGCGTGGGGAGATTCCTCAGGTAAAAATAGGATTTATTTTTCATATCAATATAGGTCCGATTGTTTTGTTTCGTAGCTACAGGGTGTTAAGTCTTAATATTTTTTCGATTTATTATAATTTTCTCCCAAGTACTTTTAGCGTTTCGAATAAAATTTTGAGGATAAAAGTTACTATAAACGCGACATATTTTAAACTTAAAACTGGAATATTTTTCTAAAAAAAAAACATGTACGCAACTGACTTTTTTCTCTTGTTAGGCAAATAGTGTAAGCAGTTTAATGCCGATTAAAAGTTGTCTTTTGATATTTTGCCGATTTCGGCCTCCTTGATGAGATAAACGCAATTTTATTAATTTGCCTTGTATTGATCCAAGTCTAATAGCAACTTTAAAAAAAATAATATCATTAACTTGCGAAAGTTTTAAATAAGTACTCATTGATTCCTCATCAAAAAATATGAAAAAAAGTTCCTATAAACCTGGGTATGGAAATTCATAGTTTTAGAGTTACAGGATGTTAAAACTTTTTAAAATTAGGTTTTTTGCAATTATCTTAAATACCATTATTTTTTTATTTGATATTGCTGTAGGTTGGACTAATAGTAATAATATTTAATAATAAATTAGGTAAAATATATAAGTTATTAATTTTATTAATTGTGATTAATAAAATTGCGTTTATCTCATCAAGGAGTACAAGATAGAGTCTTACAAGTTCTTGAGTTCTGCCGACATCCTGGTATATTTCCGAGCTGAAAACCGAGCAATTCAATCTAAATCTCTTTATTCCTTTACCTATGATACAATTAAACATTTTGTTAAGATCGAATGATGGGTCAGGGTCAAAATCCTAGGACAATCGGCTGGCGACAGTATAAATAGACGGACGCACCGCCACACGGACGGGAATACACGCAGGCCGGCCGATAATTAGTCAGTCGAACTTCGGAAATTGGCCGAAGGCAGCGATCGCCGCAAATTCCAATTAAAACGCGCGATTGTTGCCGGCTTGTCATCGACGATGTCGCTTCCGCACAACATCCCACTTTCATCCAGTGGCGGTACATGGTTCAACGTTCGTTTACACGTCATACTACGTTGGATTTTAGTCACTTAAAATTCGTCGCTAAGCACTTACGTTACGTTTGGTTTCATATTCGCTACCAAGAATACATAAAAACCTAACCAAACTACCTAATTACAAATGTATTCATAATCACTCCTCGAATATAAACTATAAGTGCCTACGTAATTTCATATTATAATAATTCTGAATCATTAATCCAGACATCAGTTTTGTCAACGGAAGTCACTTTTTTGATATATCTGATTAAAATACTCCGGAAAACAACGAGCGCCTTCAAAATTAGGTACATTTATGAAATAAAATATCTATAAAAAAGTAATTCGCAAAATATTTTTTTTATTTTCTAGCTGGTTTAATCATAAAACTGTACTGTGGTTCCCCCCAAACTCAACCTTATCAATATTATTCTAGTAGAAATCGGAATGTGAATATAAATTTTAAAAACAAAAAACGATTTTAAAATGGCTGACAATCGGATACTTGTTAAGCATGGCGGATTTTTGTCCGACTTGATATGAACTAAAAAATATACCAATTCCGCCGGGTCTCCAACATTAGTCGTCTCACACGACCGAAGTCATCAAACCGGACGACCGGCAATCGTATTATGACGTATATAATTCCAACGTACGCCACGTAACCTCACTTTGCGTATCAGTGATTTGTGGATTTGTGCAACTATATTTTAGTTTTTGTTTTCTCCTTAAAAAAATGGGCAGCCACGTGGGTGGAGGCAAGACATCACTACTACTATTATTATTTTATTTATTAGCTTTCTGTAAAATGTAGATGAATGTCTAAATGCATTTTTAGTGTTTTTTAGGCATAATAAAAAAATTAAGTTTGTTTACAAAAACTTTTTATTAGGTTATGTTCATGATGTTCATTAGGCCGCAAATGCTACTTAATGGGTTGTATTTACGTATCTGAAACAGAGAAAGACGTAAATTAGGTTATAAAATTAGCATAAAATACAAAAAAATATAATTGACGTTACTTTAGGGATTATCGGTACGTATAGTTATTGTGACAATTATATTATTATTAATTTTGCGATTATTGTCAATCAGCAATATAAAAAAGTCATTTTAACCTTGTACTCCTACTTTTTTGAATCTATTTAGAAAGATTATAATGGTACTTTAATAAAAAAATCAGAATACTTTATTTTTAGCATATTGCACATGGTACCCTTTTGTCGAGAACTACGTTTCAACGACGTCGCTTTTAATAGGAAAGCGACGTCACCGGTCGTATCACCAGTACCCGACCTAAATTTGCACAAAGTCTGACGTCGCTTCAGGTCAGATTTAGTTCGAAGTCAGATAGATGCTACTTGGGTAGGCTATATAGGTTCCACTGCGACCTTTTCAGATCTATTTGGTCCTCTTCTGATCATTAGATTACATCCTCCAGATTCTCCAGTACTATCCTTTTCAAAAAGTCTAGCAACTTTGTGGCTCACCCCTATAACTTTTTTATTTTTTCAGATAAAAAACGAGATTTGGTATATGACATAAATTAGGATTGTTTGACGTATTCAATTGTTTTTGGTCACTTCCTGTTTCACCGGAAATGACTACAACTTTTGATTTTTAAATAGCACCCTTGGTATATTTCTACTTTATTCGATAGAAAATGACACTCTCAATAAAATGAGATATCAAATGGCTCGTTTAACATTTTCGTTTTAAAAATCGTATTTTTAAATTTTATTCTGTTACGTCAGCCGCATCGGCTGCATAGACGGTCTCAATAAACTATCTTTCTCGCGCTTATAGATACCTTTCATCATAAGACTTTCTTGTCGCGCCCATTTAAAATCTCTTTATTCGCGTCTGGCAAGTATTAAATCCCATCGGAATTCGTCTGGCAATTAACACATATTTTTAATATCATCTAATAAACACGCTGTAAAAAAATTTAGAATGCCTAAAGTATATTTTGGAATATGTCTAGTTACACTTTAAACCTGAAAAAAAGTCTCCCACATTTATTTCTAGGGTAAATAGATGCCAAAATTTAATAAACAAATTTCAAGTTGCCTAAAGAATGTTTTTGGATTTATTTTTGCAAATCTTATGGGTTGCGCAGTAGCGGAATACCCCCAACACCCCAGCCAGGACTTTCTGGGTTCACTAGTTATTAAACTTTTTTTTGTTATTCAACTCTGCCTAAAATATTCCCTCTAAATATAACGCCAGCACTCCGGGCTAAAATGAGATATCAAATGGCTCGTTTAACATTTTCGCTTGAAAAAAAATCGTATTTTAAATTTTATTCTACAGGGTCCGGTAATAGTGCGTCGGGCAACAACTGTAGCGCCTAAAATAAAAAACTTGGGAATTTTGTTCAAGTGCAAACCTAAACTATGTACTAGGATGTATTTCAGGAAAATATTTTAACTTCTATAGAGTGACTCAAA